CCCCAAAACCCCAAAACCCCAAAACCCCAAAACCCCAAAACCCCAAAACCCCTTGATCTCACCGAATATTGATAAAACTTTGCATAAATAATTACTGTTATATAGAAGAGCTGGAATGCTATTCGAATTGTTTAAAATAGTCAATGGCATCTTCACGGCTCATAGCTTCCTGTCACAACCAATCATGCTCCATTATCTCAGCAAGGGAAGGTCTTTCAACAGCACTAGGAGACAGGATCCACACAAACAGGTTTTTGAATTCTTCTGTGTAAAACCTTGTAGCATACTTGCTGCTTTTTGTTTTTCAAGTGACCTCCCAGAATTTTTCAAAACTTTTGTTCTGTAAATATCTGTACCTGAGGTCCTTCAACTCGGGTTCTCTGAACGGAAGATGGCCAGTCACCATTACGAATATAATCATACCTATAGCATAGATGTCTGTGGAGGGTCCATGGTAATATTCACTAGTAAATATCTCTTCGGGACAGTACATTTTTGTTCCTCTCTTTATTTTAATCATTTTTCTCTCTGAAGACAAACTGAAATCTCATATTTTGAGATTAAACTCTGAATCAAATAGTACGTTATCAGGCTTGAGGTCTAAGTGGGAATAACCTTTAAAATGAACATGTTCGACGGCCTTGATTAATTCAATTGTGTAAAATCTGGCAAGAGTTTCAGGGAATTTACCGAACCTTCTGAGCATATTAACCAAGTCTCCGTTGCGAGCATATTCTAGGGCCATATAGGCAACTTTCCGATGATGTATGCCTCCTTCATCATAAGTCTCATCTTCTCAGAACTTTAGTAAATTTATGATATTGGGATGAGCAACTGCTTTCAAAATTTTAGCCTCTTTTTGGGCAAATTGTTCAGTATACTTCTCACAATTCTTCTTTTTCTTCATGACTTTGAGGGCTCAGATAGAGGCATCATCCTCTTGGGTAGCTAGGAATACTCTATAAATGATTAAATATATGTACTTACTTTGATATAGCTCCTTTTCCTATAGTTCTGTGTCATAAATAGGGCCCGCACTTGACCATCATTAAATTTTGTTTTATCGAAAGAACAATAAAAGGAGGCTAAATTGGGGTTTTGGGGTTTTGGGGTTTTGGGGTTTTGGGGTTTTGGGG